GCTTGAATGGCTCTAACAAAAGGGAATGCTCATATCCTGCATCGTACCTCGGATCCCTGTTTCTTCATCCACTAACGTCCACCTGCCTCGTCCTGCACGAAGCTGCAGTTTGGCTAAGGTGGGGGGTAAAGCCAGTCTCCGCATAGGAAGGGACAAGCCTGGGCAGCGGACGCAGTAACTCGGGTAGCACAGAGAGAATGGGCCATGTACCGGAAGCTCCCTCATGCCAGCTGGACACCTATGAGCAAAGGAAATGTGTGCAGTTGTCCAGGCTGATCTAGAAGAGTTAGGCTGTTGCGCTGCAAATGTCCAAGAAGGAGAGAAAGAAGTTTGCATTTGTAGTTGGTTCTATAAATCCAAAACAGAGTAAGCTGAATCTTAGGGAATCAAGCACTTTTCGAGATGTGAATGACTGAAAAAAAAAAAAAGCAGCATTTATACTGAAAAATGCTTCTAATCTCTTTCTGAGCTTCCTATCAATAAATATTTTCTATATTTATTCTAAGATATGACCTGCCTTTTAAAGGATATTGTTTACCACAGGTGCAGTGGGTGGTTTGCATGCACAAACAGGTGCTTGTATTCATGTATGCACACATGGACGTATATACACACATATATTCACGTAGCATACACATTCATTCACAGAAATGAATGATGGTGAGACAAGAGCAACCTGCCAACAGCGTGCATACTAGCATCCCACCAGGGGGGTGATGGGTTTGGACCTGCACCAACTGCGTGTGGACAGCAGACTGCTGGCTTTGCCCTGCCCAGCAGTCTGCAAGGTGATAGCTTTGGTCTGAAAAGGGACTACTTACGAACAGTCCTGGTCCTATGCACCAGGGTGGCTCTTTCTGTGCCAGGAGGCCTCTTTACTCTGGTAACAAAACCTGGTTTTGCTGCTCTTCATTGTGTCAGGCCTGCAGGGCAGCACTGCAGGGCTGAGCTCTCAGAGCCCGAGCCTCATTTCTGCATCTCTCCTTACCTTTGGTCTTTATGCAGCAGGCTCTTCCTGAGAGGAAGCACAGGCAGAGAAGAAAGTGAAGCAATACAGACAGGTGTAATAACGGCATCAAGTCCCCTGGTTGCCTCCTGTGATTAGCAATTACTTCCTGTGTATTTCCTTATCCTACTTTCATCTCCTCCAGATGCTTTGCTCTATCCCTTTCTTCCCCTTTATAATACACTTGGAGAACTGCTTTAGGACAGGAGGGCTCTGTCCCTGCAGTCCCAGTGAC